CAAAACAGATTCTACACTTCATCTTTTGACATTAAAAACAGATTCTACACTTCACCTTACCAGATTCAAAACAGATTCTACACTTCCTTACATGCCAAAAATACATCCAAGGCATTATACCCTACACAAAAATATGCCATGAGTAGGTACATTTATATGGTGACTACACTTCACCAAACCATTCAAAAAATACATCCGAGGCATTATACCCTATACAAAAATATGCCTTGACTAGGTGCATTTATATGGTGACTACACTTCACCAAACCATTCAAAAAATACATCCGAGGCATTATACCCTATACAAAAATATGCCTTGAATAGGTGCATTTATATGGTGACTACACTTCACCAAACCATTCAAAAGAAACAGTTCACTATTGAAGGTGGGCTTCAACATCTTCATTAATGAACTGTCTCCAATCAAAATTATGAAGACTTAAATGTTGTTGTGCTATTCTGACCCCTGCATGATCTAGGGAAACAGAAATGGGTAAGTTACCACTCCTTAGAAGGGAGTACTTCCCTACATGTGGAATCTTATACGCATTACAACCTAACTTTTTGATGACCTCTCACATACAATATTGCAGACTTAGCCACACAAAGTTGGAGCGCATAGGTTCAAACTCATTGTAAGACTTTGTCACAACATGAACAAGGTCATCTATAGTTTTGCATTTGTGGTCTTGTTGTAGTGACTGAATTGCTCTAAAATAGCCAAGGTCTAACACATTTAGATCTGGACTGTTTGGTGGTTGAAATGTTAATGATATGTCAAAACCATCAGCCTGGGCTACTTGGAGAAATGCAGGATCATTACATGCAATGTGTGGCTTGGCATTGTCTTGTTGAATGATGACCCTTTTGTTGGAACCAGTAGGCCACTTTTCCTTAATTGCAAGAATGACTTTGTTGATCAAAAAGCTCCTGTACACATCTTTGTTCACTATTGGTACTGGTTTGGTAACCAATGTGCCCCTTGGTCTATTTCTGCTATTCCTTTGTGCAGGTTCTGTGAATATGAATGGGAAAATTCCAATTTTTCCATCAAATAAGACCTCACCATCTTCATCAAATCTTGGCCTGGCTGATGCAGCCAA